ATGGGAGTCAGCTCTCTCTCCTCCCCATGGGGCGCTGGCTGCAGCGGTCTGTATTTTTTACCTTGTGTTTTTATATTTGTTTTTCTAGGTCTATTTGTGTCTCCCCAACCACCTCTCTCTCACAGAGGGACATTGTCTGATTGTACCTCTACATCACTACACGGCTGGCACACTGGTGGATGAAGATATCTGGAATGAAATTCAGGTCAGTCATTTTAATTTTCACGTTCAGAAGTGCAGAGAGTTGGGCCTAAAGTGCAAGTCTAGGCAGATATAAAATACACAATGAATGCGGCTCTTCATACATTATTACATTTTATGTTTTTAATACAATCCGTGTAAATGCTTATTTTGACTTGGTATCAACTTTGCAGTCTCCTGTACAGCAAAGTTCAGACTGAGCGAGGGAGAAGCAACACAGGGAGCCAATCAGTTGTGCTTTTGTGCTCATCTGCTAACAAGCAAAATGCAGAGGAGAAGCATAGACCAGAATAACGGAAAGATGAATTCATCAATCTGCTGCTTCTCCTTTTGCTGTCCGCTCACAGGTCCTCTAGCCTGTCGGACAGACTGTGCTGTGTGGCAGAGCTGTGTAAATCTCAGAAATGGAAGGGCACAAATAAAATCCCTGGGCAGGTAAAACAAATGTCATATACCGTATTTTGCGGTCCGTAAGACGCACCGGACCATAGGACGTAGGGAGGTCCGGCGCGCCTTATGGAGCACTCGACAGACCGTAGCTTCTGTCACAGCTTCTATGACAGAAGCTGCAGTTAGTGACCGCTGAGACAGGTGGCGCTGTGATTACAGCGCCACGGTCTCAGTGATCACACAGAGCAGACGAAGAAAGTCCGTTCTTCGTCTGCTCTATGGTGATCTCGATCATCGCCGCAGCTCGGTTTTAATACTAGTGATCTCATTAGATCACTCGTATTAAACGAGCAGTGGGTCCTACTACTCGCCCGGCGCCCGAAATTGCATGTCTCGGGCGTCGGGCTTTGCTCCATAAGACGCAGGCACATTTTCCCCCTCCTTTTGGGGGGGGAAGTGCGTCTTATGGAGCGAAAAATACGGTACATACTTTATCTGTGTATTTAGTTGTTTGCCTGGAGTTCAACTTTATCTCCTTCTAAAGCACCTTAAAGTGTATTTCCACTTTTGCAGCCAAACTGGGATAACACCTACTTTATATTTGAAGCAAATGGCAAACACACATAGCAGGGCTTTACACAGTTACAAAGACAAAACATTTCCAGCACACTCACCAGCCAGCCTGCAAAAAATTCAGAAACAAAATCACATTCTAACTTTTAGGGTTAAAAACAGAGGTTTTAATTGCACAACTTTTGCAAAATATGTGGAAGCCACACTGCCTTGTCAAGGCCCCCTTTCAGAAAGTCTGCTGCTTCAGTGTTTTAAGATCTTCTTGTCAGATGTTACTCTGGTATACTGAAGTATAATTACAAGCATTTCATAAGTGTCAAAGGCTTTTATTGACAATGACATTAAGTTTATGCAAAGAGTCAATATTTGCAGTGTTGACCCTTCTTATTCAAGACCTCAGCAATTCGCCCGGGCATTCTGTCAATCAACTTCTGGGCCACATCCTGACTGATAGCAGCCCATTCTTGCATAATCAATGCTTGGAGTTTGTCAGAATTTGTGGGGGGTTTTTTGTTCACCCGTTTCTTGAGGATTGACCACAAGTTCTCAATGGGATTAAGGTCTGGGGAGTTTCCTGGCCATGGACCCATTTAGATGTTTTGTTCCCCAAGCCACTTAGTTATCACTTTTGCCTTATGGCAAGGTGCTCCATCATGCTGGCAAAAGCATTGTGCGTCACCAAACTGTTCTTGAACAGTTGATAGAAGTTGCTCTTGGAGGATCTTTTTGTACCATTCTTTATTCATGGCTGTGTTCTTAGGCAAAATTGTGAGTGAGCCCACTCCACTCCCTTGGCTGAGAAACTACCCCACACATGAATGGTCTCAGGATGCTTTACTATTTTCTTCTCCGGACAAGGTATTTTCTGGATGCCCTAAACAATCGGAAAAGGGGATTCATCAGTGAAAATGCCTTTACACCAGTCCTCAGCAGTCTAATCCCTGTACCTTTTGCAGAATATCAGTCTGTCCCTGAAGTTTTTCCTGGATCGAAGTGGCTTCTTTGCTGTCCTTCTTGACACCAGGCCATCCTCCAAAAGTCTTTGCCTCGCTGTGTGTGCAGATGCATTTACACCTGCCTTCTGCCATTCCTGAGCAAGCTCTGCACTGGTGATGCCCCGATCCTGCCATTGAATCAGCTTTAGGAGACGGTCCTGGCGCTTGCTGGACTTTCTTGGGCACCCTGATCCGATAAATGGTTGATTTAGGTGCAATCTTAGGAGCAGCAATATCCTTGCCTGTGAATCCTTTTTTGTGCAAAGCAAAGGTGACTGCACGTGTTTCCTTGCAGGTAACCATGGTTAACAGTAGAACATGTAGTAGAATGATTACAAGCACCACCCTCCTTTTAAAGCTTCCAGTCTGTTATTCTAACTCAATCAGCATTAAAGGTTGCCATACACTTTACGACCATCGCAAGACTTTTGTCTTGCGATGGTCGTATGCTTATTGAAAGCTCATACGAGCTGCCCACCTTGGACGGGCAGATCGTACTTGCGATCATCGAAAGCCCGCCCCGCTGAGGGGTGGGCTTCCGATGACCGCAATGCAGAACGGGCAGTGTGCGCGTGCGCACAGCGGCCCGTTCCGCAGCTATCGGACGAGCAGGCTAGAAACCCGCCGACAATCGTACGATTCTCGGTGGGTTTTCGAGCATGCTGGTTCGACAAAAGACGTGCGACCGTACAGTAGAAACAGTCGCACGTCTTAGTTCACACTGCTCGATTCTCATACGATCGCGGGATTTCGCCCGATTCTCGTACGAGAATCGAGCAGTGTATGGGCACCTTTAGAGTGGTCTCCAGCCTTGTCCTCGTCAACACTGACACCTGTGTTTACTAGAGAATCACTGACATGATGTCAGCTGGTCCTTTTGTGGCAGGGCTGAAATGCAGTGGAAATGTTTTTGGGGGGATTAAGTTCATTTTCATGGCAAAGAGGGACTTTGCACTTAATTGCAATTGATCTGATCACTCTTCATAACATTCTGGGGTACATGCAAATTGCCATCATACAAACTGAAGCAGAAGACTTTGTGAAAATGAATATTTGTGTCATTCTCAAAACTTTTGGCCACAACTGTATTGCCCTGCAAATGCCTACAGCACTAATGTGCAAGCTGTTTGAAGGGCAATGCTTGCTTTTTGTGTATTTATGTTTACTTTTCATTTTTCCATGCTCATTGTCATGTTTTAGACAGTGCTGCGCAGTTTTCTATATTCTGAATTTGGACCATATAGCAGTTCACAATGCTAATCATTTGCTGTTGTGCTAACAGTAGTAAATACTGGCATGGACACAGAATTATGCAGTGATCCTGTTATTAGGTTACTGCTCAGACTTGTGCCTCGGGAACAAATCCTACAGTAAGCTCACTAGAATCTCAGGTTATCCAAATGTTTAACTTTCCTCTTGGGGAGTTTACATGACAACAGATAAATATGGTCTAATCATGGCGGGATTAGTAAATCTAGCACAAGGAGAATACAAACGTCAAAAACAAAATGAACGGCTGTTCCGCATGGACATAAACCATATTTAATAAAATGTTCTCTCTTTTCTTCTATTTTTAACATTAATTATCTTGATTAGTCAACATGGGAACTGCTAAAAGTTCTTTGGCAGTGAAACAGAAGATGAACTTAAAGTAAACCTCTTGCAAAGGATGAATGTATAAGCTAAAATCTGCACCTAGTAGCTGACGCCAGAAGCCATCCGCTCGTTCCTTCTCCACAGCCCCCTTCACTGCCTAATGCGAGCCTTCTACAGTGCTTATGCAAATAGCAACTTTCTCAGAGCTGCTGTTTGCTTATCAAAAAGATTCCCCGTCACTTCAGCACACACTTCCACACTGGTCTTCTGATACCCTGTTTGCCCGAAAATAAGACCTACCCCGAAAATAAGACCTAGTACTATTTTTAGTATTTGCTTAAATATAAGACCTACCCCAAAAATAAGACCTAGTTGTGACTAGGGAGAACTATGAGGTGAGTGCTTTTCACTCATCCTCATAGTTCTAGCCGACCTGCGACAATGAAACTGTCACAGGTCGGCTCAGTGGATTGGGAAGTGAGCGAACACATACCGGCGTTTGATCACTTCTCAATCCTGTCACGGCTCTCTGCCGTGACAGGGGAGGGACTGGATTCCCCCAGCGCTGACTGGTGGAACAGAAGGGGGAGGGGGCGGGTACAGCTGGCTCTGCCTCTAGATAGGCAGAGCCAGCTGTCACTCACGCAGCTGGGCGGATCCAGATTTTTAATTGTCGGGATCCGCTTCACCTGCGGCGTCTCAGTATACAGCTCGCGGTATACTGAGCTTAGGGTGATGGGAGGACGCTAGTTTGTGTCCTCCCGTTACCATTAGAAGAACTATGGGGAAAAGCCCTAACCCCATAGATCTTTAAATATAAGATTTTATTTGACAAAATCTACAGTAGATTTAGTCTTCTAAAATCTAGTGGGTTTAAAGAGTAATTTAAGAATGTCTCTAGAATTTCCAATCTCATTATATACTCCTGGAGAAAACATCTGTTAACCTATTATTACTTATGGTATTAAGGTTTGAACATGCAACACAGACACAGATTTAACTGATATATAACATGTCTTTATTTATCTTAAAATTAGATTAAACCAAATCTTATAAAGAAACAATGATATTGAGTATTTTCAACAAAGGACGAGTAATTAGAAATGCATCGATTATAACAAATTGTATATGGCATTCTTCATTCTTTCAAGCACAAGAGCAACTCTACAATTTAAAAATGAAAAACTATATTGGGTGTAATGCCATTGCACATACCGTGTTTCCCCGAAAATAAGACACTGTCTTATATTTTTTTTGGCTCAAAAAAACACACTAGGTCTTATTTTCGGGGTAGGTCTTATTTTTATTTGTTTTTAATGTATAACAATCCAAAGTTAATGCAAATCCTAATTAAATAATCCAAAATGGCAAAGTTAAGAATAGGGTAATCAGGGGTGCCATACCTTTCCAAGAGCAAATGGTAACCAGAAAAAGCGAACTTTCACTATCG